CATTTACCATGCTCAGTTCGTGGGAATTTGTGTGATAAACAGAGATTTTTGTTAACCCATACCTGAAGCATACTGCTGATAGATCATAGCATAACCCACCCATGTTAACATATCCCACCTGCCATAATATAACCCATCAGTCATAACATGGCCCAACCACCACCACTCTAACAATAGAAGAGATAAAAGCACAACTCCAGTGTTTAACGAGGGTAAAGAATTAGCTTTAATTCTATAATTCTATAATTTAATTCTAACTAATTAATTAGTTAGCTTAACACAGAACTAGCTCTAACCAAAGAGGGAACATCTCGATCCCAGGCGCCGGCGAGAAACAATGGGCAGAGTTTCTTTCACCCTATGCCCCTGTTACCTAGCAGTAAAATAGGAACCTGGGTGTTAGTCAGCTGTCACGGGCTGCTTCCTGGGGGTGGAGGCCTGGTTGAGGACCGGGCCGCGAGGACACTAAAAAGCCCCGAAATCATCTCAAGATAACCTCAAGATAGATCTCAAGCGTCGTACTCTGAATCTATTTTTCATTAAAAACACCCATGGAAATCCATGCCCCAGGTGTTCTAGTTGTGCTTGCGGGGGTTGAGCTCTGGCTCTTTGGTCCCGCCTCACCACCGGTGTGGTGTTGCCATCGTGGAGAACATTCTCTCACGTGAATGAAACTTGGCGGTGAGTCCCTTCAATAATCAATTATCATTCCTTGAGCTAAGAATGATATATTTCAATTGCTTTAAAGGCAGGGATTCAGGAGAGGGCCGGCGGCGGACGAAACACTGTGGAACATGGCGCAGCTCTTAGAGACGGCTGGGTCTGGAGGCTTCCTCCCCGCTGATATCACATCTGATAGCATTGAGTCGAGTGATGATTAATGGTGTTCCTAGACAGTTCCACCGGACTAGCGGGAAAGGCTCGTATAACGATATATGAAAATTATATAAGGCGTATATGGCAGGTATAACGAAGTATCCCCGGAGCGCTATACGCTGCGGGGTGTGTACTCACCTGTGTCTGCTCATCTTATTGTGCTTGTTGAGTTGAGCTCTTGAGTCCCGCCTTTCCACTGGCATAATATAATAAAAAATTGTCCTTAAAAATTTATAAAAATTAAAAATTTAAACTGTTCCTTAATTTGCACGTTGATTCTATATCTGCTTTCTCGGACCAAGTTAGTATTTTGTAGTTCGTTATCATGTGTGCCCTTGTTACTTTCTTCAGGGTAGGGAGGTCCAGTCTTTCCTCATAGCTCAGTCCCCTTAACTCAGGTACGAGTCTTTTGAAATATTTTTGGACCTTCTTATCTTCCTCTGTGTGTGTGTGTGTGTGTGTGTGTGTGTGTGTGTGTGTGTGTGTGTGTGTGTGTGTGTGTGCGTGCGTGCGTGCGTGCGTATTTCACCCAAACATTATAAGCCAACACACAGGCTTAGCAAGATCTTCAAGCCAGTAATTAGGATAGCAAAAAATGATAAGCTGAAGCTTGCCTCATAAACTATAAAGCCCGAGCAGGTAAATTGTTGTGAAAACAGGTAATTAATCACCCAAATTGATGTCAGTTGATTCCGCCCTTAAGGAGTCGTGTCTATGGGTAGACCTTGTGCAAAGGTCTTTGTGTGTAGTGTAAGGTAGGGGAATTGTGAGGCAAAGGTTGGGTAATTATGAGGCAAAGGTTGGGTAATTATGAGGCAAAGGTTGGGTAATTATGAGGCAAAGGTTGGGTAATTATGAGGCAAAGGTTGGGTAATTATGAGGCAAAGGTTGGGTAATTATGAGGCAAAGGTTGGGTAATTGTGAGGCAAAGGTTGGGTAATTATGAGGCAAAGGTTGGGTAATTATGAGGCAAAGGTTGGGTAATTATGAGGCAAAGGTTGGGTAATTATTGGGAGGAAGAGAAGGTAATTATGAGATCAGGTAGCTGGGATATGAGGTCAGGTAGCTGGGATATGAGGTCAGGTAGCTGGGATATGAGGTCAGGTAGCTGGGATATGAGGTCAGGTAGCTGGGATATGAGGTCAGGTAGCTGGGATACGAGGTCAGGTAGCTGGGATATGAGGTCAGGCAGCTGGGATATGAGGACAAAGAAATTGGATATGAGGACAAGGATCTGGGATGGGACGGAGGGAAGGAACAGTGCCCAACCACTTCGACCGTCGGGGATCGAACGCTGACCTGCATCAAGCGAAGCCGTCGCTGTACCGACCAATCCAAGTGGTGAACATAGAGTGAGTTGAGCCCAGGAATGAGCTATTGCCACTGAGGGTATAAATCATCCCGAGCGATTAGAAATTAAATTTGAGCCGTTCATGGGAGGATTTACGGGAGAGGTTTGGGTGATTAGGATTGGGGGGGGGGTGGTGGTGGGGGTGGTGGTGATGGTGTGGTGGGGGTGGTGGTGATGGTCGTGGTGGTGGTGGGGATGGTCGTGGTGGTGGTGGGGGTAGAGGTGGGGGTGGTGGTGGTGGGGGTACGTGGTGGTGGGGGTGATGGTGGTGGGGGTGGTGGTGGTAGGGGCCAAGTCGTGGATGGAGATGGCTTCCACAACTTACAGACCAGATTCACGAAGTCTACGAGAGTCTTAAGAGGTCCGTACTGTAATGTCTAAGTTGCTCAATCATGCCACCTTGTACTCACCTATACAGATTCCTGCGCCTACTGGGCTCTCAACTGTTGCTACTACTACTTTTTTTTTCCACACCACACACACACCCCAGGAAGCAGCCCGTGACAGCTGTCTAACTCCCAGGTACCTAATTACTGTTTGGTGAACAGGTGCATCAGGGTGAGAGAAACCATGCTCATTTGTTTCCGCCATCGCCGGGGATCGATCCCTCCCTGTGGGACTCCACTGGTAACATCTGAGGTCTGTCCTCTCACTGTCTGTCTGTCTTTTGTTGCTTAGGTACACATAAGGGACATAACTGGCCGACCCCTCACAGTGTTCAAGAGAGAACTGGATAAGCACCTCCAAAGGATACCTGATCAACCAGGCTGTGACTCATACGTCAGGCTGCGAGCAGCCGCGTCCAACAGCCTGGTTGATCAGTCCGGCAACCAGGAGGCCTGGTCGACGACCGGGCCGCGGGGACGCTAAGCCCCGGAAGCACCTCAAGGTAACCTCAAGGTAGGTACTCCCTGCGTCCACCTTCCCTGTCACTCCTGCCTGCTTCTCCAATTTCTGCACTAGTTTCTTGTGCATTACTCTGTCAAAGGCTCTCTGACAATCCACAAATATGCAGTCAGCCCACAGTTCTCTTTCTTGTCTGCTTTCTGTCGCCCGGTGAACCCGTGTGTGTAAACACTATTGGAAGGTGTAGGATTATTATTGTCTGCGTGTGTTGGGAAGCGTCTGCAAGCACAGCTGAAGGTAGATAAATGAAGAGTCACCACGACACAAAGTGTAGAGGGAGGGAGACAGTGAGGCAGGCAGACAGGCAGGCAGGCAGTCAGACAGGCAGACAGACAGTCAGGCAGGCAGACAGGCAGGCAGACAGGCAGACAGACAGACAGTGAAGCAGACACACAGACAGTCAGGCAGACAGTCAGGCAGACAGACAGGCAGACAGACAGACAGTCAGGCAGGCAGACAGACAGACAGTGAAGCAGACAGACAGACAGTGAAGCAGACAGACAGACAGTCAGGCAGACAGTGAGGCAGACAGACAGACAGTGAGGCAGACAGACAGGCAGACAGATAGACAGGCAGGCAGACAGTCAGGCAGGCAGACAGTCAGGCAAACAGTCAGGCAGACAGACAGTCAGGCAGACAGGAAGCAAGACATAATGACTCAAGCACCAAGGAAATTAAAGAATGATAAGAACAACAACAAACAATAATAATAATAAACGACATACACAGACGGGAGAGACAGAGGAAGTGACAGACCATCACCAACAAGCCAGCGCCACCAATTTCTCCCAACCCCACCCCCTTGCCGCCGCTTCTATCCTTGGCATTTAACCCAAGATTTGCATTTCTTCCCCGTTGTGCGTTTCCAAATATCGACCTGACCGTTCCCCTAAGTCAATAAGACGCTACAGTCACTTCAAAACCAGTTTTTGCTGTCTTCAAGGCCCTTATAAATACCTCCTCCCACCCACCGAAGGCTATTTTACGGGCTATTCATGCCCGTGCCACCTCTTGGGTGGCTTAATCTTTATCAATCAATCAATCATCCTAGCCCCACCTCACTCAAGAAACTTTATTCAACTTTTCTGGATAATCGGAAAGTTGTAATCTTTCAGGAACAGGTCAGTGTATTGTGTGTTATCCAACGGCTTGGCTTCAAGCCCGTCAAATAGTTTCTTCTCTAACAGTGCTATTCAGATGGTCTTCGTATCCTTTCTCTATGTCTGATAACAAGCGACTGATCTTTAAGCTAACAGACTGTCTCCTCGCTAAACTATCAGTTAAGACTTTCTCCTCGCTGAACTATATGCTAAGACTTTTTACTCGCTGAACTATAAGCAAAGACTTTTTACTCGCTGAACTATACGCTAAGACTTTCTCCTTGCTGAACTATAAGCTAAGACTTTCTCCTCGCTGAACTATAAGCAAAGACTTTTTACTCGCTGAACTATACGCTAAGACTTTCTCCTCGCTGAACTATAAGCTAAGACTTTCTCCTCGCTGAACTATAAGCAAAGACTTTTTACTCGCTGAACTATATGCTAAGACTTTCTCCTCGCTGAACTATAAGCTAAGACTTTCTCCTCGCTGAACTATAAGCTAAGACTTTATCCCTCGCTGAACCAGAGAGTTAATATTAACCAGGGTTAATATTAATATTAAGGGGTTAATATTAACCTGAGGGTTAATAAAACAACATTGCCAAGATATCTGCTAAGATATCGTATGCTTCACCCGAACATCTTGAACTATCGTAATCCATGACTTGACAATTTGCCCGATTGTATAGGTCGTTGGACAGTTTAGTTTTGGCGGGAAGAAGAGAGCGCCGCCTGCCGGCCAGGTCAACACTCTCTCAATCACTCACCAGAGGTCATAGTGTGTGGAGGTGTCGGTCGCGCGGTCAATATTGACACCTTTGAGACGGGACACGATCTAAGGTGAAGTGATTATTAACAACGTCATTGAGTGAGGTGTTGTTTTTAATAGAAAACAATAACAGATGTTTGACAAAGATGTCCGGATATTTGACGATTGTTGGGTATTATAGGGATATCGTCGGAAGGGAAGGGAACTATCAGAGGGAAAGCGCTAAGCCATTACGACTATATAGCATTTGGAAGGGATTAGGATAAGGATTTGGGATGGGACGGGGGGGGGGGGAGGGGAGAGGAATGGTGCCCAACCACTTGGCCATCGTCGGAAATGCTAATTCTGTATTAATCCTGCTGCTAAATGCCTGTTTGCGAATGAAAAGCACTTTATACACGACTTAAAGTTTGAATTTAGTTCATGAGCGCGGCTTTACGTGAGCCGCGGCTTGAACGAACCTAGCCCTGAGGAAGGGGGGGTTTCGAACCAGACCTCAAGATCACACGTCGTTTCTCAGCCCGTCCTCCAAACAAAGATCCAAAAGTGATTCCATGCACCCGCCAAACCCCCTGTTTATGAATGAAAAGCGGTTTACACACGACTCACAACTGCTGACGTTCGAACATATCCGGAACAAGTGTTTCACTGACGAATTTTGTTCGAATCACAACGCTATAAATGCTTCACCCACGTACTACAAATACAAATAATCGCCAACAGAACCTAAACACCTAACCTAACCTGTGCCTATATATGCACAATATGCTAATATACTATAATATTAATTTATACTTGAGAAAATTCTCGTTTTGAATGAACAGCATGTTAAAATTTATGAATGCGTCTGTGGGGTCGACCGCTGGATGGAATGGACTTGAGTCGAGGACGGGTTGCGTTTCTGGCGCTCGGCTCCAACTGGCAAAGTAATTTTATATTGTGATGTGTAGTCTATATCTACCTCCCCCTACCCCCCGAAGCTTAGGATCGTGTTATGGTGCATGCTTTAACGACCCTCCAGAGGCTGATAGGTCTCGAGTCTGGTGGTGGTTGTGGTGATGGGCGGGGTGGTGTTTTTGTGTTAGAAATTGTGGTAGGGTTAATTGTGTGGTGGTAGTGGGTACATGTATGCCGTTGTATGTAAGTAGTTGTGGTAGCTGTGTTGTGGTGATGGATCGTTGTGTTACAGGTGTGGGAGGAACTGGTATAGTGGTTCAGATTGTGGTAGCTGGTGGTGGTAGCCTACCTGCCTGTGCTGACCTATGAGGGCATGCTACATAGCTCGTTATGGTGCAGTTTAGTTCTACCCCGGGCCTTGACAGTTGTGGATGGTGGTAGTGGAGATGTTGTGGTGGTGGTTGTTGGAGGAGGGGGGGGGGGGTTGTAGTGGTGGTTGTGTGGGCCCTGCAGCTGCCTTGACATGTGTGACATCTATTTGTCACCGGTGTTATGTAGGCCACATGGGGTGTATGAGGTGCGTCATGCGGGCTGCACATGTTGTCATCTGGTGCACCAGGTCAGGCCGGTTTAGGAGGGTCGGTCAGGCCGGTTTAGGAGCGTCGGTCAGGCCGGTTTAGGAGGGTCGGTCAGGCCGGTTTAGGAGCGTCGGTCAGGCCGGTTTAGGAGGGTCGGTCAGGCCGGTTTAGGAGGGTCGGTCAAGCCGGTTTAGGAGGGTCGGTCAGGCCGGTTTAGGAGCGTCGGTCAGGCCGGTTTAGGAGGGTCGGTCAAGCCGGTTTAGGAGGGTCGGTCAGGCCGGTTTAGGAGGGTCGGTCAGGCCGGTTTAGGAGGGTCGGTCAGGCCGGTTTAGGAGCGTCGGTCAGGCCGGTTTAGGAGCGTCGGTCAGGCCGGTTTAGGAGCGTCGGTCAGGCCGGTTTAGGAGGGTCGGTCAGGCCGGTTTAGGAGGGTCGGTCAGGCCGGTTTAGGAGGGTCGGTCAAGCCGGTTTAGGAGCGTCGGTCAGGCCGGTTTAGGAGGGTCGGTCAGGCCGGTTTAGGAGGGTCGGTCAGGCCGGTTTAGGAGGGTCGGTCAGGCCGGTTTAGGAGGGTCGGTCAGGCCGGTTTAGGAGGGTCGGTCAGGCCGGTTTAGGAGCGTCGGTCAGGCCGGTTTAGGAGCGTCGGTCAGGCCGGTTTAGGAGGGTCGGTCAGGCCGGTTTAGGAGCGTCGGTCAGGCCGGTTTAGGAGGGTCGGTCAGGCCGGTTTAGGAGGGTCGGTCAGGCCGGTTTAGGAGCGTCGGTCAGGCCGGTTTAGGAGGGTCGGTCAGGCCGGTTTAGGAGGGTCGGTCAAGCCGGTTTAGGAGGGTCGGTCAAGCCGGTTGGGGATGGGTTCCAGCTGGCTGTTAGGGGAGGTCGTGGCTGCTAGCTTGGAGGCCGAGATTGAACCGGCTACAGGTCACTGTAGAACCAGCTATTTTTACCCCGAGTGGATAGTAATCACATCATTTTTTTCAGTCTTCTAACTTTGGTATATTTAATACCTTCAGCATCTCCTCAAAGCTTCTGTTTTCTTCAGTTCCGGAAGCTATTTAGGTGGATGTCTTGGCACCTTTTGCGGTGTAGTGATGTACGTCTTGAGACTTGAGCACCTTTCAAAAATTTTATAATCGATACTTCACGTTTTAGGGATTTCATTGTGTATTTTTTTTTTTAACTTGTGTTTGGGTTTCTTCCGGTCTTGTACTTAAGAAAATACTCTCAACACAATTCTCATTTTTCTTATATTACTTTTAATAAATTATTTTAAAAAATTATTTATTTTTTGCTTGAATGTAAATAATTGTAACAATCTATTTTCCTGTTGATAGCACCTATTGTGACGATAGTCGTCAATAGTCACGAATTCGTACTTTCTTAGGGCCAGATTCACGAAAGTACTTACGCAAGCACTTACGAACGTGTACATTTTTCCTCATCTTTGACGGCTTTGGTTACATTTATTAAACAGTTTACAAGCATGAAAATTTCCCATTCAACTGTTGTTATTGTTATAAACAGCCTCCTGATGCCTTGGAGCTCATTAACTGTTTAATAATTGTAAACAAAGCCGCCAAAGATTGAGAATAGATGTACAGGTTCGTAAGTGCTTGCGTAACTGCTTCGTGAATCTGGCCCTTAGCTTTTAAATAGTAGTATACTGACTAGTAAGGAATTCATTCAAAATAAATGACTCATAAAAAAAATAAACTTAAATATTGCTAGGCCTATTATAACAATGTCGTTCATGAGGCCTGGGAAGGGTAGTTTGGGAGGCTCCCGGACGCAGGTTCGAATCCTCGTTACGGCCCTTGTGGATTTGTTCAAGGGTAGTTTAGTTTGTCAAAGCAACACAAGTAGGGGCCTCGTACCTTGGTGGATAGCGCGCAGGACTCGTAATTCTGTGGCGCGGGTTCGATTCCCGCACGAGGCAGAAACAAATGGGCAAAGTTTCTTTCAACCTGAATGCCCCCTTTTTTTTTTGGAGTAAATAGGAAGGAGAGGCATAGGTGCAGCCCCTGTTACCTAGTAGTAAATAGGTACCTGGGAGTTAGTCAGCTGTCACGGGCTGCTTCCTGGGGTGTGTGGTGTGGGGGGAAAAAATAGTAAACAGTTGATTGACAGTTGAGAGGCGGGCCGAAAGAGCAGAGCTCAACCCCCGCAAACACAACTAGGCGAATTGTGAGTTATATTGTATTTTCTTAAATAAAGATAAAAAAAAAGGTATAAAAATAGTTTTCCGGTTTGTCCAACTCAATAGTTGGGATTTCTACTTTCTAATAGCGTCGTACGTCGATATATGTACTATGGTCCTCATCGTTGCTGTAAGGACTGCCAAAACCTTAAGTCCAAAGTCTTAAGTCTGACGCTGTCAAACAGTGAAGGGAGGGAATTATCAGGGGAAAGCACCAAGCCATTACGACTATATAGCACTGGGAAGGGGTCAGGATAAGGATTTGGGATGGGACGGAGGGGAAGAAATGGTGCCCAACCACGTGCGGACGGTCGGGGATTGAACGCCGACCTGCATGACGCGAGACCGTCGCTCTACCGTCCAGCCCAAGTGGGTAGACTATTGAGCAGTGAATGACTGGATGCTACACGACCCAATCCGGTGTTTCTTGAGGTTATCTTGAGATGATTTCGGGGCTTTTAGTGTCCCCGCGGCCCGGTCCTCGACCAGGCCTCCACCCCCAGGAAGCAGCCCGTGACAGCTGACTAACACCCAGGTACCTATTTTACTGCTAGGTAACAGGGGCATAGGGTGAAAGAAACTCTGCCCATTGTTTCTCGCCGGCGCCTAGGATCGAACCCAGGACCACAGGATCACAAGTCCCGCGTGCTGTCCGCTCGGCCGACCGGCTCCTTCTCATCGTCAACTTTAAACTTTATTCATTTATTAATACTTATTAATATTTATTTATTTAAACTACTTCCTGTTCATTAAGAAACTTGTATTCAAAATATTGCAAAGTGTCAAATGAATGCATTTGCTGACTTGTAAGATGGTCATAGCTTCCCTGATACCTGATCAACCAGGCTGTGACTCATACGTCAGGCTGCGACCAGCCGCGTCCAACAGCCTGGTTGATCAGTCCAGCAACCAGGAGGCCTGGTCGACGACCGGGCCGCGGGGACGCTAAGCCCCGGAAGCACCTCAAGGTAACCTCCCTCCCTCTGTAATCAGTTCATTGTTGTAGTGTATAGTTGCAGGGTGATAACCGGAATGCCTTTACGATAGCAGGATCTATCTTGAGGTTATCTTGAGATGATTTCGGGGCTTAGCGTCCTCGCGGCTCGGTCCTTAGCGTCCTCGCGGCTCAGTCCTTAGCGTCCTCGCGGCTCGGTCCTCGACCAGTTACACACCCCCATACAGCAGTCCGTAGCAGCTGTCTAACTCCCAGGTACCTATTTACTGCTAGGTGAACAGGGGAGCATTAGGGTGAAAGAAACTGTCCATGTGTTTCCGCTTCCTACGGGAATTGAACCCGGAACCTTGGACTACGAACCCCCAGTGCTGTCCACTCAACCGTCAGTCCCCCCCCCCCCACAAGGAGGATAACACAAGATAACCTGTTTTATCCCAGTATGATGAAGCGTGGAAC